GAAGCTGCTGGCTTCCTCATCACTGACTTTGCGCAATGTCAAGAGCCAATGGCTGCAGAGGGCACCGAGATCTCCTTGTCCTCATGCCCAGCCCTACACCCCCCATCTCCCGTTTGTGTTGACCTGGAGGTTTCAACAAAGGGAAAGTGAAAGGAGGACAGTGGGGTTTGGCATCATTCACACATTGTTCCTCTTGGTGGAAAACCAGCACAAGTGACAGTGTGCTACCAGAAGGGTTCACGTCTGCACCAGGCTGGGATTTGCAGCCCAGGATCCTGCCACATTGATGTGCCCGTAGGAAGCAGCATGGCCCTTGCTCTTCCCAGAAATAATGGTGAGGCATTGAAACAGGCTGCCTGGGAAGGTGGTGGAGTCACCGTCCCTGGAGGTGTTCCAGAACTATGTGTGGATGAGGGACGTGGTTGGTGGGCATGGTGGGGATGGGATGGGATGGTGGTTGGATTGGATGATCTCAGAGGACTTTAGCAGTCTTGATGATTCTGTGATTCCTCTAGCATTCCTCTGCTGCAGGAAGCTTTTGCTCTGCAGGAAAGCAGGGCCTTCAAGTTATGTTGTTTGTGTGGGAACCTCCTGGAAGCGGCTGGAGGTCTCCAGGCCATGCTTGAAAGTTACCCTCCCTTTGCCACTCTAAACCGTGACCTCCTCCTCCTGCCTCTGCCTCTGGAGACTCCCTGCAGCAAGAAGGCCCTGGGGGTGTCTGCTACTCTGGGGCCAGCCTTGCGATCAGACAGTACCCAGCACTCCCAAGCAAGCCCTATCCTCAGCCAGCCTCTCTCAGCCAATCTCAATAAAATCACAGTATCATTAAGGTTGGAGAAGACCTCTAAGATCACCTGGTCCAACCTCAGCCCATCCCCACCATGCCCACTGACCATGTCCTCATGGCCACATCCACACGGTTCTGGAACACCTCCAGGGACAGTGACTGCACCACCTCCCTGGGCAGCCTGTGCCACTGCAGCACTGCTCTTTCTGAGAAGAAAGTTTTCCACGTATCCAATCTGAACCTCCTCTGGTGCAGCTTGATGCCAATCCCTTGTCCTATGGCTGTTACCTGGGAGCAGAGGCCAACTCCCACCTCATCACAACCTCCTTTAATGTCACTGTAGAGAGCAGTCTCTCCTGAGCTCCTCTTCTCCAGATCGAAAAACCCCAGTTCCCTCAGCCGCTCTCCATCAGACTTGTGCTCCAGATCCCTCACAGCTCCACTGCCCTTCTCTGGACACACTCCAAGGCCTCCATGTCTTTCTGGTAGTGAGGGGCCCAGAACTGACCACAGAACTCGAGGTGCAGCCTCACCTTCCCCACTCCTCCTGTTGCTTGGCCTCCTGGTTTCAGGAATGTCCCACCATGGCAGTAAGGCAAGCAGCCTGCATGCCTGGCACTCAGCCTTTCCCTTACAGTCGTTTGGCACTGAAAATTATCTGCAGACAAAAGCGCCGTACCTGGGTCTTAATTTCCTCCCTCGCCAAACCATTACTACTAATTATCTCTCCTAGGTGTTGAAACCGTTTAAGCGACACTGCTAAATGCCCTGTGTTAATTTAATTGCCATGGAGCCGGGTTTCCCTGCATGCAGAGCTCTCACAGGGTCTCAGCAGAAGCAAAGCTGTCTCTCATACATTCTTCAGCCCTGTCTCTGTGGGACCAGACACGTTGGCTGGTCTGAGAGTCACAGGGCAGGAGGTCTCTGGGACACCCTGGTCCTCTCCTGGCACGGTGGTGTGGAGGAAAAGGCTGTGGTGAAGGAGATGGTCAGGAGCCAGTGGAGCTAGTGCTGGTAGAGGTTAGCTGGGACAGGAGGAGCACCGTGACCCTGGGTGAAGACAGGGCTGGCACCCACCTGAAATGTCCGCATAGCCCTGGGGACGGGGCAGAGGAGGACTGCTATCCACGCACAAGCCCTTTGCATTGCTCAATGCGACAGATTCACTAGAGAACGTTAGGGAAGTGCTTTGAACATGAGAAGTGCTGAGTGCTGCTGTTCCTTATTACTGCATGGAGGCCGGCCCTGTCTGGGGCACCAAGCAGAACTGGGCATGCCTAATTCCCAGACGTTGCATTCCCCCTCCTGTCCTGACCCACAAAAGTGAGGAGGAAGAGGGACAACGTGGAGAGGAAGAAGGGAGCACACTTTTAGCCCTGGTGAGGAAGGAACATCTCTGAAAGCCGGGGGCTGAGCTGTGCCCCCCATCGTGGCCGGGCACCATGCAGGACATGGGGCTGGAGCCACGTCTGGTAGCGTCCCACTTGCAGGGTTGGCCACATCCTGTCCCGCTTTACTGCCTCCCCCCTCCCCCCCGTGCCCTGGTTTTGTGAGGGAAGGGTCCCCAGGGAGGAGCTGAAATGGGGCAGCGGGTGGGGGGAGCATGGGGAGCCATGGCTCAGTGATCCCATCCTGCCCTGGGGAGCACAGCCGGGAATTTGGGGAGCGGTCGAGTAAAACCCTCAACACACCCATCCTCATGGCCACTTCTCAAGGCTGGAGGACAGCATGGCTTAAGTTTACCTGTGCTCACTGTAAAGCAAAGCCTCATTATCCCTCCTCTTCCTCCTTTGCTGTGAAGGCTGTGGGGCTCAATGACACACTCTGGGTGAAGGCATCAGCAGGGCTTGACCCCATTGCCATTTTCCAGGCGCTCCTCCAGCCCATCAGGGCCTTTTTCACTTTAATTCCACTCCCCTTGCCCCCTCCAAAAAAGAAATCGACTTGAACAAGGACCGAGTTATAAAAAAAAAAAATCTTTATTTCATGTACCAGGAATTTTTTTTTTTTTGTCATTTTCTCTTTTTAAAATTTTTTTTTCTTTTTAACAGTCTGAAAAAAACCCACGAAAGAAAGTAAATGGAGGTCGGTTTTTCTTGTACTGCTTTGAGCTGGACATGTGCAATACCCTCGGAAGAACGCATCGCTGCCAGCCCTCATCCCTCCCCATCCCTGGCAGGGGGGTCCGGCACTTGTCCCCTGCCTCGCCCTGTGAATGCTCCCCAGCTCCATGGAGCTTTTGGGTTTAACCCCAAACACTGCTCTTCCTTATGCTGCATTCCGGGGCACCGAGCATCGCTTGTCCTTATAGGCCGGTGGGGGTTCGTTTTGAATTTTTGTCCCCTTTTTTTTTAATAATATTTTTTGGAGTTTGGAGGGAGGGGGGCCTGTGAGCAGGGGTCTGGATATCCAACCTGCTCCCCTCACCCTGCCCTGGGGGCTGAGCTGAGATATTTGGGGGCAATGGGGGTGGAAGTGTAGGGATGCTTTTAAGCAGAAACCCCACTGGGAGCTGAAGCGGGAGCCTGGCAGGCTCCTGAAACTGGAGCAGCAGGGACGGGAATGGAAAAAAAAAGAAAAAAAAATCATATTAAAACCAGAAATTTGGAAAAAATAGGTCTGAGCTGCCCCAGGGCTCGGTGCACCCATCCTGCGCACCCCACAGCTATGGGGGCAGCCCCTGAGGGTTCTATCCCCAGGGACCCTGACCCTCTTCCCCGCTTCCTGTCCCCATCCCCCCCTGCGCAGGTGCACCAATTCTGTATGAATTCAGCTGCATCCAGGCAGCATGGGGGGACTGCTACAAAGGGACCCCCCCAAAGGGGGAGATGGGTGCCCTGGGTGGGGGGAACGGGGGCTTGTTGTGGGGAGGGGGAGGTGACCAGGCGTATTTGGGGAGCCCGTGAGCATTCACAGGGGAGTGAGTGCGTGCCCCCCACCCTGCAGCAGCCCCCCCGCAGCAGCACGCTGAGCAATGGGAGCCCCTCTCCCCTCCGGGTCCCCCCGCCCTGCAACCCCCCCCTCCGCTGCCCACCTTGATTTTTCACAGTTTAAAGCTGGAGAAAATAAAAATGAAAACAAAAATAATGCTATCTGTTTTCTCTTGCAAGTAAATCCACTTATTATATTTACATTTATTTATAGTTGCCTTTTTATTAAAAAAATTGCCACTTTTTTTTTTGTTTTTTTTTTAAGAAACCTTTTTTCAACCTTTTTTTTTTCCCTTTTTTTTTTTTTTCTTTCTTTTTTTTCTCTTTGACATTGTGTGTCTCTGCTTTTTCACGCTGTCATTGCTGACCCTGGTCGGTGGGAGGGGAAAAGGGGGGGGTCCCCAGAGCCAGGGGAGCCCCCAGGACCCCAGGGGACACTGCAGGCAGCTCCAGGGATAGCGGCCACCTTTGCTCATAGGGATCCGCAGGGGACAAGCGGCTCCTGGGCTCCCAGGGGGGCCTGAGCGGGTCCTGGAGGGGCTGAGTGCCCCCCTGCACCCTGAGAGCCCCCATAGCCCTCGGGTAACCTTGGGGACATAGAGGGGTTGCTGCAGGTCCGAGCCCCCCAGGAGCCTGCACTGAGCTGAAGGAAGTGGGAAATGAACCATAAAATTAAAGAACCCCCCCCCCAAACCCAAAGAGCTGCCGCCTCCTCCTCTTCATCCTCCTCCTCCTCTTCCTCCCACTTGGTTTATTGTCGTTATTTCTTGGTTCCCTTTTATATTTTTTTTTTAAATCTCTTTTTATTAAATGTTAAAATAATGGTACATGGGAAATCATGCATTTTCTTTTAAATTTATTTCTATTTTTTTTTTTTTTTAAATCTCTTTCTCTCGGTTTTAAAGTTTTTCTTTTTTTTCTTTTTTCTTTTTCTTTTTTTTTTTTTTAAGTTTTATTTTTTTTTCTCTGTTGTTTCTTCCTTCACGTTTCCTTTTGTATTTTGTTTGCTTGCTGTACGTTTGCTTTGTGTTCGCGTGCTCGTTTGTCTTATCTCATTGCTCGCCGGTCGCTCTGTATTTTATTTCCTATTTTCGCGCGTGGTTTTTTTTTAATGCTTTTTTTTTTTTTTTTTTTTTTTACACTTTTCTCTCTATGTTTTTTTGTTTGTTTGTTTGTTTGTTGTTTGTTTTTTGCGATTGCGAGGACCCCACCCCGGGGGCACTCACACCTCCTCCCACCCCGCCACCCCCATTGCCCTCACCCCCCAGCCCACCCCCCCGTCCCCCACCCCGTCCTCCTGCCTCCTCCTTCCCCACTTGCAGCTCCTGGCGGCGGCTTCATACCGGGGTGGTCCGGCGGTTGGCTGTGTTGGTGTGGATCGAGTCCTTGTTCTCCTTCTGGATACAGTTGTGAACCTGGAGGAAGCTGTTATCCCTGTCGGAGTTGTAGGTAGCGGTAGGGGTGGTGGTGGCCTTCAGCGGGTCCCTGCTCAGGGTGTACATCGAGATCTCTGTTGATGGAAGGGTGTTGAACCCTTTGATCCCGACGGGAGAGGCATCCCTGGAGTGTGAAGGCTCGGTGGAGCGGGAGCTGGAGCGGCTGCGTCTCTGGTAGCGGTACCGGTAGCTGGGGATGCGGGTGATGGCGGAGGACTGGAGGTAGTCCGTGGCGCGAGCGTTGGCGCGCAGCTGTTTGTGCCGGTCAATGAACATGTGGACGGCCAGCACTCCCACCATCTCGGCTATAATGAAGGACAGGGCCCCAAAGTAGAAGGACCAGCCATAGGAGTAGCTGTTCTTCTTGGAGTCGCTCTTCGAGGGGTCTCCAGCGTTGGCTGATATGTATACGATGATCCCAATTATATTACTCAGACCTGGGGGAGAGGCAGCCGTCAGGAGGACAACGTGTGGCGGTGGCCGTGGGATGAGACTCCTGCCCTCCTGCTGCCAGGAGGGGTAATGGGGTCCCAAACCTACCTGCTGGTCTCCATTGCAGCTTTTCCTGGGCAAGCCCTTGCTCCTGCGTCCCCCACACCCTGATGGCCCCCTAAAACCACCAGCCATGAGGCTCCTCCCTCCTTATGTGGCAGATGGAGAGGCTTCCTCAGGGTGTTGCCTTCATCCCAGGTTGGAAAAGCAGCCCTCCCTTACCCCTGAACCTGGCCCATGCATGTCCCATTACCTGCAGACACGAAGAAGATGCCGGCACTCAGGATGATGTTGTGTCGAGTTTTGTAGAACTCGCTGGCTGCAATGCAGAGTCCACCCATGAAAAGCAGAATCACACTCAGGATCGGAAAAATACTAGAGGCTCTAACAGCCCCTGTGGAGGAAAGAGGGAGAGGGGCAGAGACAACAACGCATGTGTCAGAGAGAAGAATCAGGGCTGTGGCAGCAACATGGGGCGAGGGGACCAGAGGGCATGATTTGGGGGAGTCAGAGTAATTCATGGAGGAGTAAAAAGGGGGTGAGAAGAGAGAGACAAAGTGTGTCAGAAGATGCTGGTGATGAAAGAGCTGGGCTCTTTCCAGAGGACAGGGATGGGTGTGCGTGTGCCAGCTCCATACACACGCCATTGGTCAATAGTGGATAGCTCAGCTGGCAGAGGGCAATGACACCGATGCATGCAGATGCACAATGAACCCTAGAGCTCTGGGGGAAAACTTGCGTGTATTCAGCCAGTTTGCATTGGTTTGTGTTGGCACTGTTTGTGTTTTTTTTACTGAGAAGGGCTTCCCTCTTCTCTTCCCAAGAGGAAGTAATCTGTAAAGCGTGAAATGAAGCCTCGCTTGCTAAAGAAAGGTATCAGACGGGCTGGTGCGATTGCTTGTGGAGCAAAGATTGGGAAAGAGGGATGAAAGCCAAACACTCCTTGCCTACAGGAATGGACCCTCCTGAAGCAAATCACAGGATCATAGAATATCCCAAGTTGGAAGGAATCCATAAGGATCATCAAGTCCAGCCCCTAAGTCCCAAAGGTGGGACTTTTTCTGGTGCAAGAACAGACTTTTTTCAAAGACCCTGCTGGTGTTTGAGTCCTACCAGGCAGAAGAAATGGGCTCTTTGAGTGGGGGGCCAAGCCCCCTGCCGGTGTGTTAGAATGCAATAAGCAAGGACAAACCTCTCTCTTGCTTTCCATCTCTCCTTGGCTGAGTTTCAGGGAACAGGAGAGTGATAATAACCATCTTAATAGCTTCTGGAAGGCAAGGCAGAATTCAACAAGGTGAAGCTAAATGGAGGTGAGCAAATATCAAGCAACCATCCTCTGTTTGGAAGGTTTCTAGAGGGACGCTCACAACCCTGCTCTGACCTTATCAGTCTTATTTCAGAAATTCCCACATGCTGGGAGAACCAGAACGTGCTGGCTGATGTGGGGAGCTGCAGGCAGCATAAGAAGTGTGAGGATAGGCCCTGCTTTCCACTCCTTGGAAGGACCAAGGAAGCAAGAGAGGGGCAGGATTTAATCTGGTTTTCTGGATTCTTGGGGCTAAAGACAAAAGGATTTGTAATGGCATTTGGATGCTCATAGCATCTGCCTATTTTCTAACTTGATGTTAGCAAGTGAACATAGGGACGCCGCTGCTTCCTCTCTAATGGATGTTTAATTCTCAGAAACATGAGATACCTTCTGAAGATGTCTGGCAGGCATCAAGTCTGAGCTCTTCTAGATGGGCCATGGGCATGTCCCATGATTATCGTGGTCCTTGAACCGAAGGGATTGCTTAGGTTGATAACAATGAATACCCTCCTAGCTGCCCTTGCTAGCACCACCAGGCATCGCCCATGCAGAGCACCCATGGACTCAATTTGGCAGAAGGCTTGGGGAAGAGGCTGCGTGGTGGGGTTCTTATGCAGCCAAGCAGCAGAAGCCCAACTTCCTCAAAGAGAGACCTCAGATGTCCTTAACTAAGTGGCCAAATCCCACTTTGAACCTAATTTTTCAAAAATGTTCTGTCTTTGGACACTCTCAGGTCCTGGCATTGGCCAGATTTTGCATGTGAGTCTTGTTCCCTCTGAGAGAATGGATCCACAGCTCTTGGGATGCTCACTCCCTTCCCCCAGCTCTCCTTCCTGAAGTGCAGAGGATGCTTGCAGTTTCCTCACTCCCAAAAACCGTGCAAGCAGTAAGAGCCATCTCTTTTCACATACAAATGAGCTTTTCAGAGTCTAAATTCTCTCTCTCATCTCTGCCGCAGGGCTGGGTCTCCACATCTGGCTTCCAGCACAGCTGGCTGACAAGGAGCAGCTCTGATATACTGCTGGTCTTTGGAGACCTCTGGTGCTCCACCTTGGGAGGTCAAAATCTCTTGTCTCAGCTTCCTGAACGGAGATGATCTCTTCTCATGGTGCCGAAAGATGCTGTGAGTGTGCAGAGGGTGGAAAAGAGGGGAGATCTGGGAGGGGGAGTGAATCCTGTTCAGCTGAGCTCTCAGGGTAGGAGGAAGTGGTGGCTTATTGCCAGCTGGGGTGGCATGTGCTGTGGGTCTGCTCTGTAGAAACGCAGTGTTTGGAGAGAGGTGGAACAAGAGAAAAATGGGTGTCTCCATTCACTGCAGTCCAGCAAATTTCTTAGATCTGATGCAATCAGAGTATGAGGTGAGGAAGCACAACCTTGTTCTATGTGAGGTTTGGGCAGAGAGGATGCTTGAGTTAGATCAGTGATACAGAGGGAAGCTTTGGTGTTCCTGTGCCCAGGATTCAGCTGCAGAATCAGCTGCAACTATGAAGGATGGCCCCTGCAGCCCTCCTCTGTCTGCATGCATCTTGCCCACTGGAGAGGGGCTCAGAAACTGCTATTGTCATGTGCCAAACTCTGATGCTTTTGAGTTAGAAGACTCTGGGCTTATATCACAATGAATTGCTGCTAATAAGAAATGCCATTGGTTGTCATGACACTTGACCTGCCTCAATGGCAGCTCCCAGGGAGATGAGACTGCAGTGAGATGCAAAGACTCAGTGGATCTGGGGGGCCCCTGCCCACCTCTCATAGCTGTCCCTCCCTCTGCCCCCTGAGCTCCACAGGATCCAGGATCTGCACTGCACTGTTTTCAGAGAGCAAAAGGCACCCGATGACAGCACCTATGAGCAGTTTCAGGGAAAAGGGCCTGTGGACTTACGGAGGAAATATTCTGCTGTATCGGCTTCATAATCTGCATCCTCAGGGAAGTGATTGATTTGCTTACACAGACCTTTAAAATTCCCTAGGGAACAAGAGAAAAAAAAGAACAAATGAGAACACCAGCAACCTCCTTGAAGGAGCAACTGCCCTCTGTGTTGCTCCTTACTCCCTCCCTTCCTTTCTCCCAGGCAACATGCACACTCACATGGGGACCATTAGCTGCTCTCCTCACATGCTCACACACCCATCTCCCTCTTCTTTGCACAGGAACACGGGCCAGACACAGACTGAGGTCTACTTGGCCCAATATTCCTTTCTCTGGGATGTGGCAGCACTGGAGGTTTTGGCCATGCATGGACAAGGGGTCTGTTCTGCCCCTGTAGGAGGTGGAACCGGAGTCACAGATGGCAAAACTCATGGGTTAGCATCCCTTCTGTTGGCATCGACTGAAACAACTTCAGGTGTTTGCATAGTTACAGAGAAGCCAATTCCCCACTTGAATTTCACCTGGCATAGCCTCGGTGAATTCCAGTGGTGTTGCGTACAGAGGGCTGATTGTATTTGTGCAGAGAAGTGTTTGTTTTCCTCTGCTGTGAATTTGCTATACCTATTCATTTCACTGGCGGGATATGTTCCATTGTTCCGCTGTTGTATGAGAAGAACAAAAGCTCCTAATCTACTTGCTCCGTATGACTGCTTGCTTTGTGTACCTTTAGCAGGCCTCCTCTTCTGTCCGCTCACAGATTAAGCCTGCAAGAAGCTTGGCATGAGTGTTGGGGTGCAGCCCTGCAGCCAAGAACCCCATGTGCTGGAGGAACCAAATCTTCTGCTGTGGTTGAGAATCTGGGTCACCCACAGATTTCACCAAGCTGGTGAAAATCCCCCATACAGGTGCTTCTACCAGCCTCTCTGCTTTAGCCACAGGGCACCCTCTTTCTATGACCAGCAAAGCCATCTCACCAGAAGGCCAGAGAGATCTTCACAGTCCATCATCATCTGAGATTTCTACCAGTCTCTTCTTTTCAACATTTGTGTCACTCTCCTCTTGAAATTAGAAATACCATTGCAGATTGGTAATCTTTGAGCATAGTCATCATCATGGCCATTGGTTGACTGGACATTGATTAGTATACTGAGGTACCTGGTTGTTCATGTTGGTACAGGGCTCTTTGGGAAGGAGGACCACAGTACCCAGGTGGGTGCATGGCTAGGCATGGCTGTCCCAAGGGCCCCCTAGCTGGAGATCAGCTATCAGTGTTTCAAACTGACTGAGCCCTCAGCTGCAGCCTGAATGCTGAGAATGGTAAGTGTTGTGGCAACCTGAGAAACCTGCTCTGCAATCCTTGCCCAGCCATGGTACCAGCTGGGTATGCAGGGCAGGGGATTTTGAAGCTACCACAGTTGTAGATGTTGCCTCCAGGAAGGGTTGTTTGTGAGGAACCTAGAACTCTTCCAGGCTAACTCTTGCCAGACTGAGACCTCAGGCACCATGTCAGGTTCCTGAGTCATGTCTCAGAAGATTTGTTCCAGATGATTTCCAATGATCTCTCAGGTATTTGGGAATATGTAGAAACATAGATGATTTTCCCTGGGTTTTTCTCCAGGCAAAGCCTTGCTGGAACAAGGTTTGGGAGACTGCACAGACTGAAGTTTCTCTGGGTCAGCCCCTATGCTTGGCTCTTCTGGGTCCTGTCAGTTTTTGCTTGGTATCTGTGAGATACCTATCACCCTTCACGCTTCCAAGAAGAGGCTAGTCACAGTGGAGAGAAGTGTGTGTAAAAGGTAAGCACTAGGAGGAGAAAGTAGGAACAAAGCCTCTCCGTGTATCTCTGAAGTGGTATTCCTACATCTAACCCATGGGTTATAAGTTATTAATCATCCTTCCATAATGCAGTTACCTCAAGCGTCTGCTTCTCAGTCATGGCTCTCCTGGAGGGAAAGATCCACAGCCAAGGAAATTTCCCCACTACACTCTCACTTGCTACTTGCCCATACAGTACAAGGCAAGTGGACAGGCTCTTTGAAAACCTGCTCCCAGTGCTGGATGTCCAAAGTGTGCTGCTGATGATGCTCAGCGGGGTGTTGGCCATTGGGCTGTCCAACCCTGCTTGCTTAAAATGCCATGACACTGAGGAGCTGCTTTTCACCCTGGGACTATGTGCTGGTCTGGTCCTGGTTCAGCCCCACTGGTGTTCATGAGGTCAGCGTGGGCAGCACTGGTCCCATTGAGTTGCTGCTGTCTGTGATACAAGCATGGAGCTGTGGCTCCAGAAGACAGATGCTTGCCTGTGCTGTCACAGCTTCTCCTCCAATGCCTCTGAGCTCATCTGGGCAATGGATGGAGAAAGGATGCAGAATTTAGGTCATTAATGTGGTGACTGGGAATAGGAGAGAACAAGATTCAGTTTCTGTTCTGCCACAGGCATGCTGCTGAAACCATTTCTTATCTCTGCCTTGGAGACCCACCTCATGAGATGGGGGGACAGCACTGCTCTGCCTTGCACTCCTCCAGAGGGCACAGGGTGGCTGCACGGCTGTCACAGGCTGTGTATGTGCTCAGGGCAGATGCAACGGCTCAGAAATCAGCTCAATGTGGAGAAGTCGCCTCTCATGCCAAGGCGGCTTGGCAATCCTCTCCTAGACATCTGTGGCCTGCTGGGATGGTGGGACAGCCTCCCCAGCTCCTGTGCCAGTGGAAGCCCCTCAGTCACTTGTGGGGAGGGTTTAGAAAGCTCAGCAGTGTTTCAGAGGTCTGACACAAGGCCCTTCTCCCGTTCTGCACGTGCCATTTGCAAAGCTGGGAAGGGAAGAACCATGTTCCACACCACAGTTAGTAACTCTGAATGCCTGTGCATAAGCACATCTCTATTTTGGAGGATGTGCAGGACTCTGGGACCCCTTTAAAGAGAGAGGAATGATGTATCCTCATACATACTCATGTCCTTTTGCCCTTCCCGTTCTTCCTGATGAACTGTTTCATGCTGTGAATCCCAGGCAGGTGTTGAGAACTGTGACTTCTGCAAGCCCACAAGAAACTCAAGCTAGGCATTTCCACCCTCTTACTGTAGCTCTCCCAGCTTCCAGTTCTCCCCTCACCCTCCAGATCCTCCTCCCATTTCTCAGTATCATTCTCTACAGCCACCTTCTTCCACCCAATATGTTGCTGTGGGGCTCCTGGGGCAGCCTGATTTTGGATGTGCAGAGCAGCTGGGGAAGAATTCTGACTTGTCTCAGGGCCAAAAAGGTGTGGATGCCCAGGTCCATGGAAAACACCCCTAATCCTGGCCCACAACCTTCTGACACAATGGCAATATTCCAGAGCATCCCCCAAGATGCTGCTGGGTGTCCTTCAGTCAGACCCCCAGCATTTACCTGTCCGAGCTTTGGAAAGCTTGGGAGCAGAGGCAGTGCTTTGCACTGTGACCTGCCATAGTGCCAAGAGGGACTGAACATCTAAAACGCATAGACATCAGCACTGACTGAGTGCTTGGTCTCAGAGGGGCCTCCTGCGAGGCAGCCAGCCATCGTTTGGGTACATGCTGTCTATGCAGGGCAGCTGGCAGCTGCCGGCTCTGCTGCAGCGCGAGCCGGACCAAGTTACCCCTGATGGGAACCTGGCTCAGTGCTGTTGATGGCACGGTTTATTTTTGTGCTGCTTTGTGCAGCCCTGGCTTTTTCAGAAGTCTCGCCTGCCTGCGGAGTGCAATCCATTGGCAAATAGTAAGTTCCGAAGAACACAAAGCTGCTCCCTTCCCACAGGGAGAAGGGAATGCTTTTAGATGGTCAGGACTGTACATTTGAAAACTGGGAGCCAGAGGGAGAGACATCCAAAAGGAGAGAGGCAGACAAAGAGGGAAGAGAACAGAAAGACCTGTTTTTCCCAGAATGATTTGTGGTATTTCCATTTACGGAAAAAAGCAATCCGCTGAAAGCTTTCCTTTAGCCTCCCTCTCTAATTTAGCAGAGGTTTTGGCATGGTGGCTTCTGGAGAAATAAATAAAGGTGGCTGGATATAGCTGTTGTCTCTAAAAGCTCAAAATGATGGCTCAGTGTTAGCCAAGGATTCAGCACCTCCACACATTTCCTGTATCATTTTAGCAAGTCACTTAACCCCACTCTTCTGTCACAGACAGAGCGAATAACGGTATTTCCCTGCCTTGGGGAAACAGCCTGAGGATATCTGTATTAGAAACATGAAGGAGATCAGACACTGGAGCTGTTTGGGCCAGATATTTCTCCCCACTTTCCAGTTCAAACATAATGTGCTCCTCCTTGACGTGACCTTCTCTCAGATGAACACGAAGGCTGTGAAAGACCTCCCAGATCCACACTTGTGATTCCTGCCTTAGAAGTAATTGTCATTGCAGATTAAATTGATATTTACTATTTGCCCATGAAAGAAAAAGAGCAAAACAGCACAGGAAGGACAGGAGGGAGGACACGGAGCTCGAACATTTCTTTCTGCTCCAAGATTCTGTTTCTGAGATTATTCCCTTTGGGACCAGGTGGCGAAGCTCGGAACTTGGAGGACAAATTCCAGTGCTGTATGGCAAACTGCTGGTATGTGAGCTTTACAAGTATTGCCAAAGGACTTGCAAGCCAGGAGAGAAAGTTTGCCATCACTGTTCCAAAACGGTGGTGGTGATACCAGTGGGGTGGGAAATGGAGTCTGCAGGGCTTAGCCTGGGAAAATACTGGAGATCCGCTGGAAACTATGGGCCATCAGAAGCCTCATCACCTTCTCGTGTAAATGCAGTGTGCCTGCTTTGATGTGGCCTTCCCCAACATAAACGTGCAGCAGTGCATATGTTAAACAAAAAAACAACAAAACCCTAGCAACATAACCAGTATGCTGCATACATAATTCTCTCCCTGGGGAGAGGATAAAAGAACAAACCACATGTGACTGATATCAAGCCCCATCACTTAATGTGCCACTGAAAATCATTCAGATATTGTGGCAAAGAAGACTGTAAAAGGACTGATGCAAAATAGAAATTGATCTTACAGTTATTAAAGAATATCCCCCCTGCCTACGAGGGAGAACCATTATATCAGCTCTCCTCACCTTATCATTAATAA